GTATACGACATAGTTAAAATTCCTAAGAAACAGGACGTATAGAAAAAGCATGGGAGAAAAGGGAAAGGATAAGGGTCGGATGCAGGACAACATGGGGAGGAAAACCTGGAGCAAGGACGAGATATACTCGTCTTGTGCGCGTCTCTCTCCCAGATCCTTCGCCTCTTTCCACCCCTCTCTCAGGAGCCTCATCCATCAGTCACTTAATATTTCAAAGCAGCGCCCTGCGCAACGTTTGCCCTCTCTCTCTCTCTCCCACCCTTCGTTCCCGAGACGCGCGAACGTCGTTGTGAGCCCATGTCGCTCTTTTTAAAAGCTTAAAACACCAGAGCGAAGCTGGCGCATCAACACAGAGAGTAAAGTTTTTAGACTTTGCTATAAGGGAGATATTAGAGCGCGACGTCCTTCTCGCTCGCTCTCCTTCGAACCGACGAGAGAATGACGACGACGACGCGGCAGTGGGAACACGAAGTGATGTCTCGCGTCGATTTCGCAAGGAGGGAAAAAGGAAACCTCGCGGGGCATCTCATCCCCCAGCATCTCTTCCCTCCCGCCGCTACCCCTTGGCTCCGCTCGAGAAATTCAAATTTCTCGTTTCACGCGACCGAATGGGATTCTTCCCTTCTCCCGTGAGCGAGAAGCTCACCTGCCCAAGTACGCGCCGCAGTCGTCGGAGTCGAGATCGATTCGTTCCGCGTCTCTCACGGAAGGAAGGAAGAAGGGGGATAAGGGTTGAGAAAGATGGTATGCTCTCGCGGATACGGAGATAAAAGCTGTTTTTTTTCTCGCTTATCACGCGGGCGAGATGCGACCGGATTGTCCGGACTGATTCGAACGATGAAGATGAGCTCGATCTGGGGATGTAATTTCGACTGCGAGTTCGAGACTCGCGAGGGAGCGAGATTGTAGAAAATTTCATACAAAAAGGGAACTTCGAGTCAAGAGCAGAGGGACAAAGAAAGTTCTCAAAATACATGAATATAAAAATACTTGAAATTAATAGGAAAATTCTAGAAAATTATACTTTCAGAGAATGAAACTTTGGAAAATTAGCATCATGTGTAATGCGGAACAATTTACTAAAATAAGAATGAAATTTAGGTAATTGTGCTTGATACATACTCGATGGGAATTGGTTATTATCTACGATGCAAATAATGATAAAAATATTGGAATAATTAAACTTGGAATAATTCAAGAAAAATTTTTTAAAATCCTGAAAAAATTCACAATTTGTCTCTAGAATTTGTGTATATTGTAGAGGAAGAATTATATAGGAAATTTTTTTTCAAAATATTGCAAATATCTCGAAACAATTATATACAACAATTATATACAATTTAATACTTTAATAAATTATGTAAATTTTTATTTATACCAAAAATAAAAAACAAATGTGTAAATATAAATGATTTAAAGGCCCATATAAGAGATCATCAGCTTTAAATTATATCTTGCTAATTTGAGATAAGAAAGTATTGTTGAAACGATAACGATATATAAACAGATAACATTATCTTTTGATTTTACGTAGAATAGCGCGGAAAAAACTCTGTGTTTTCGCATAATAATTTATCATTATAGTATATAATGGATAAATATATATGTAAAAAATAATATCTAATCATATTAGTATATTACTGTTAAAATAATTAATATTCTGTGTATATTCTATTATTTTAAATAAATGGATATTTTTTAATATTATTTCATCGTAAAACATTTGAGTTATACGTTCATTTTTATTTATGATTAAGTTCATTGTACGATATCAATCTCATATTAAACAAGCAATTTAGTCAATTAAATTTCTTTAAAGATTACAAAAATAAATAAGGACTCAATTATAAAAGTATTTGATATTGAAAGCTCGGATGAAAAATAAATAAGTTTATTTTTTTAATCGTCAACTTAAGCAAATACATTTATATTTATGATTAAATTTTCAATAAATAATAAAAATTGCAAAATAGATTTAATTTTGATAATTTGTGAATATATATATGTCTAGTTTTTATAATTAATATATTATAATTAACAAATAGTAGGATGAATAACTCTCAATATTCATCAAATTAAATATAATATTTTTGTATTTCACATTATCTATATAATATCAAGTATATTTAAAATATTATTCATACCTAAAAAAACATGACATAACTTTATATTTAATAATTTTTACTAAAATCTCTTGCGATTTCTCAATAATCTTTGACAAGTTAGCGATCTAGAATCTCTCGTGTCTTCGATTACACCTAACTACATTCCAGATCGATGAGGCTCTCGATCAGGTATTTTTCACTTCAGTCGTCGTGAAGAGCAGGATCGTGACCATCGCGAGTTAAATTGGCGTAGATTTCTTCGCCGTAATTATAAATAGGATAGGAAAGTGCGGGGAAGGGACCCGATACGTCGCGGACAGTGCCCGAAGCGGCCCCGAGGATGTTTCAGGAATATCGAGGACGTAATTATCCCATAATTGCCGAGCAGCGGTCTTGACTCTTGAGCAGCTCTACGTCTCGGCGGTTATTCGAGTGGGGATAGTCAGTGGTTGGCCTTGTGCAGTAATTGTACTAATTATTACTGCCCCTTTCCTCCCTCACCCCCGCTCCCATACAACGCCGGTTTCCTCCCCCCGACCGCCCAATTACCATTGGTGGACCGCGTGCGCGAGAGAGAATCCGGACTCGCGGAGATTTCAGAACCTTGTTTCTTGGAAAAAAAATCTTTGTTAGCGCCCGAGAGATTTGACCGCCGTATCATTGACAGTGGGAGGTTTCTTGGAAATTCTAATTAATTTATGGCTGCATAAATTAGAGATAATCAGGGATAATTAGGGACAAAGAATTGATGTTAAGTATGCGAATGTAAGACGGAATATCAGTGTAAATATGCGTTGATAATTTTGCGATAATTAAAAAAGAATTTATAAAAAATAATACATGCATAACTGTGCATTTTCACAAAAAAATGTACAAGGACTTGTTTGTCGTAACATTAATTAATACACGGAGAGAATTTTCTCTTAGAATTTATCCTGAAAATTATGGTGATGGTGGGACAATATGGTTATTGAAAGAATTTTATAAGAGCTTCTCCGATTAATATTTCACAATAAAAAATATTAATATGTACATACTAAATTTTACTATGTACTTGTAAAATTAATCGAATATATTTTATATCTTATTATAGATATTAATATTTTTTTATTGTGGTAAATATTTAATTAAAGATACTCTTATAAAATTCTTAATTCCAATATCATATTATTCGACGATTACTATGATTTTCACGGTAAATTCAAAGAGAAATTTTTCTCTGCGTATAATTTTTAGTTTTTTTGAAATTTAGATCTAAAAAAATTGTGCATTTATAATTCGAGATTAATCTCTCTAACAAATTTTCTTTAAAGTGATTAAAGTTTCAATTATGATAAATAAATAGTACTTTTTTTACTATCTACTTAAGTTTATAAAAAATAAACACAAAATAATAAAAACTTAACTTATTATTTTATAATTTAATTATATCGATAATTGGTGATTTTATCCATCATAATAAAATTTGATAGATAACTTTTTAATAATATGTTTAATAGATTAGTGCGCGCAATATGCCTTTTTTACATACATACACACATCTTTTCATATATATACCATATATATATCTATTATTATCTTTTATTTTATATATCATTCTCATATAATTTTATATGCGTATATTTTCTCTTCAATTAATGTGTCAAATCAATTGCTTTCTTCTCAATTACCGTGTCAATGGAAAATATAACATTTTAATGACACTAATTTTACATTTGACATTTAATGACATTAAATTTACATTTGACATTAAAAATATTGAAGAGAAAATATACGCATATAAAATTATATGAGAATTATTTATAAACAAGAATAGATAAGAACAAACATATACATATATATATATATGTGTATTCTATATTTTATACATAATTTTAATTTATAAAAAATTCTCATAATTTTGTGCGCGTAAATTTTCTCTTCGATTAAATGTCATACTTTCTGTTGCCACAGCAATGTAATCGAATAAATGCATACTTAATAGATTTGAGAATCGAATTAAAGGGCCGCGGAGTAAATGTGGCGCGTCTCGTGACGCTTACGGTCCTGAGACCATTGACGTGACCCCAAGCGGCGAGAGGTAAACACAGCCGTAGGTCACCGCGTGTTGATCGTGGCAGAACACAGCTGACAGTGCAAGAAAGACAGGACACTCTCATCGAAACAATCCACGTGGCAAGGACACGTCATTAGACGTCAAAATGACGTCATTTTAGGAATGTTACGCTTACACATGTACTATACACATTTTGCGTGAAGCATATGCTCCCTCAGAAATAGAAATATGTACATCTCGCACACGTTACGTCTGTCTTAGCACCTCGTTCGAATGAATACCGAAAAAATATATAAAAAATGATCTCATGCATCTCTACTCACCCTCCGTTTGTCGTACGCCGCCAGCCACTCGTCCGCCTTCCGTTTGTCGTAGAGCACCCTGGCGAGGTTTCCGTGCGGCCGATACGTCCGTACGGAGCGACTCGTCGTCCCGTTGCTGCTGCGTCCGTCGACGCAGCAGGTGGCTTCCTGACAGCCGTAGGCGCACCTGATGACCTGGGGCTCGTCTGCGCCCGCCGCCATGCTCGCCACGATTTAACGCGCGCACGTCCGACGTGCACGTCGACGAGTCACCGATTACCCACGCATGATTTGATCGAGTCAATTAAGCGGCGATAGCCTCGCGACGCGACTCACCGGATCGACGATCTTAATCGCGACGTCAACGAGGCGCACGAACGTAAAAACGGGCGCCTCGTCGTCGCGTAAACACACCGCACTTCCTCAACACGTGGCCATCTTGCGACTGTGGCGCCGCGCGCGGCGCGCAAACGAACTAAAGGTTTGCCTTGAAGTTTGTCGGTAATTACCGACCGATCGATTGACCGACCGCGACTGTCACTGCTACTCTTGTTGTGTGGTGCGAGGTCATCGCGGTTTAAATGTTGCTTCCAGTGCATTGACACGTGCGAGATGTGTTTACATACTTTCTCGCACGAATTTTTGCATAATTTCGTTGATTGTTGGCGGCACGTGTGTTGGTACGTGTACTTGGACGACGAGGGAATACAGGCGTACAACAACAGTCACGAAAGGTGATCGACGTAAGTAGAATAATATTGAAATCAAGTCTCATTAACATTTCTAACCTGATTAATATGTAACCTATAATTAATGCTCAACGAATATATACGAGTGCATATGATGCTGTTCAACGAATATATACGAGTGCATATGATGCTGCGAATAAAATGGATTTCTATATTTATTCAAGCAATAAAAATATACGACTGTTTTTTGTAAAGTACATCTTTATATGAAGCATATATCGATATATTGAGTCGCTCTCTGAAGTTATGGCGCTTTCGATTGATTTTTGCGTTTCAACGCCAATTTTATTAAATTCAGGGTCCAGGGTCAAGGGCCATCGCGCACAAATTCATACAGCTGCATCCCAGGTTATTTAAAACATAAAAATCATAATAATATGATGACGTCATTATGAGTTTTATGTTCTACTTGCGATATGCATGAGATCTGGATCAATAAGCACGAAATGGTATACTTATTTTATATTTTATTTTATCAGCATTTATGCATTTTGTTATACATATATTTTGATTAGATTAATTTATTTGATATTATGTAAATCGATGGTTATTTGTCCAGGTAGTCTTTGTGTTATGCATATGTATATCTATGTTAAATTTGTGAGCGATGGTTCTCTGAATCGACGATTAGAATGAGTGGGGTGGCCACCTTGTCTATTGGTCACTTTGTCTATTAGTAGAGTGGTCAACCTGCAAATTTCAACCGTTTCGGTTTATTTAGTCAAACGTGGTCGTTGCTGAACGTGCTGCAGATGTTAATTGATATTTCATTCCGGATAAAGCGTGAGTAAAACATGAATCACTGAATGTATATGCTAATATAATATTTAACATATTTTGTAGGTCAGTGCGCTGAGCACTTTCCGTGTAAATCATTTATTCTGCACATTTATATATTCTTCTTATCGAAAATCGATCGAAAAATACATGAAGTAATCTGCGCTTTGGTCGAAATTAACGAAGCACGCATCGTGCTCCGAAATTATCGCGAGCATAGTTTACATATTTCTCGCATCTTTTATCGGCCAACTGTTCTCCCTCGAAGGAAGTTACCGAGACATGAAAGTTTCAGGCGAGATAAATATGGCACGGGGAGAGCACTCGGCGCACCGGTCCGATGAATATTTTAGATGCCATATTGACGCATCGCGCGCGATTTGCTCTCTCTCTCTCTCTCGCATGCTCTCATCGGTCCGCTTGTTCGCACGCGCGCTGATAATTCATTAATTTATGATAAGCCCGGCCGCGCCGCCCACGGGCCACATCCTCTCCCTCTCCCACACGCCATAAATCATTTTCGCGTCTGACATTAATTGTGCGCCACCCCTCGTTACCAGGAGAAATGAGATTTTTTTAATTGGCGAATTTTTCACCGTGGCTGACACCCTGCCACCCGCTTCCGAATATTCCCCAGTTTTTCTGGTACTGAAGAGAAAGAGAGAGCGAGAGAAAGAAAGGAGAGAGAGAAAGGGGGAGGGGGGGTAAAGAAAAAAAGAATGTGGCACGAGAAACGCTGTGCATAATAATTTTCTTAAATTTGACAATGATATGCCGAAATGGTACCTATACTTATTTTATTTTATCAGCATTTATGCATTTTATTATACATATATTTTGATTAGATGAATTTATTTGATATAAATTGATCATACTTTTCTGTGTATTATTATCCCCAATATAATAAGTATTAAATTATAAATGAACAAATAATATAAAAAGATAGAAATATTGAAATATTACAAAGATAAAAAGATAGCATAAAAAGATAGAATTATTTATATAGTACATGTTTTTTAGAATTATATATATAGTACAAGTTTTCAAGTAGTATATTAAATTGATTTTGATAATTATAATAATGTTTTCGAAAATATAGAATTATGATACTACACTGAAAAAAATTTATTGAATTCGAATAAATATTTATTTCAATACTTCCTTACAAATCATTTATTTGAAACTAATAATATTGATTTGATGTGAAAAAATATGTATATAAGAAAATGCTTTTCGAAACATATAAATATTTATTTGTTTCAAATAAATGATTTAAGGCAGTGTTGAAATAAATATTTATTAATTTAATAATTTTTAAATATAAAAACAGTTAATATAACATAATTTTTTAAATGTACAAATATTACATTTAAGCGTAATGCGAGATCGCTTTTAATTTAGATTAACTTGCATCGTTTCTGCATGTAACCTTGTCGAGGATTTGTTTGGGCTATGCTTGACATTAATGACTAAACAACGCATGTGGCCTTGCAGAAAGCATCGTGTGCGACTACACATTTGCATTCCTATATTTCTTTTGGTTAGAAATCTAATTTAAATCTTTTAATCTTCTTCTTAAATGGGTCTTCATGAAACACTCGAAAATTCGAATATATTTGATAACAATCACGAGCTATTAATTTCTTCTTTTGACAGTCCCAATATACACTCATTTGCATATATACATTCAATTTTTTATAATCTTTTACAGTTCTTTATACAATAGAATTTGTAGATAAAAATCGGTTTCTTCAATCTTTATTTCTAACAACAACAATATAATCATGCATAAATATTTTTTTGTCATGGGAAATATTCTCATGTCATGTGGTTTTAATAGAATTATTTAATAACTCCATATAAATAATACAATAAATAAATTACATAATAATTAATAATTTATTTGCAAATTATATATTTATTGTTTGAAGATATTAAAAACCTTGTAATCACTTGCTAAAAATAATTGGCTGAGCGAATGATTAATTATTAAAGTATTGAGATGAATATGATTTTTTTTTAATATGTTGAATATATTGATTACTCATTGTTTTCACAATATTAATCGAAAGTATCGAACCGACTTCGAAATAGACGGTGAACTTTATTGAACGCGAATGCTGTCTGACGTAGGTACGAGATTCCTCGCGCGTGTAAAATACAAATCGCATTAGCAAGTCAAAGTACACCACTCTCTTCCGCGGAGTCCCATTTTGAGACATTCCTACCTACGTCCGGCGCTTCGAAAGGGCCTTAACTCGATAAGTCCCCTCGGTACCTGAAGTGAGCTCATAATCGTGAACGAAGCGCGCAACCGCTTATTACAACCGAGGGCATTGTAAATTTGCAGGGAAGAAGCGGAGAAGTGTAGAAGCGAGAGCGTGGATGAGAGCGGAAAGGAGATGGAAAAGAAGAGTGAGTGAAGGAGGACGACAGGCAAGGTAAGGAAAAGAAAGAAGAGGGTGTAAGGGAATGAGTGAGAAAGGACATGAGGGGGAAGGGCAAGTCAGGGAAAAGAATAAGATGAGGGAGGCAAAGAGGAGTCGAAAGGACAAAGCGGCGCAAAACGTGCCCCTCAGGCATCTAAAGTCTTTCTTCAGCGTTGAAAATTTATCGTTCTACAAGCGCCGGCGAACAGAAAAATAGCGAGGGGAGAGAGAATAGGGGTGAAGAGAGGGAGGAGAGGGTAGGAAGACGAAGAGGAAGTGGGTGCCGAGAGGAGATATATACGGACAGGCGCGTTTTGTTCCATTTATCCGGGCAAATCTAGATTTTACACCGAAAGTCAGTGTTTAAGATAATGAGGACATTTCTCTTTCTTTTTTCAAAACTGCGGGCATAATTAACGGTACGCGTGTGGAAAACATTAATTAATCCCCATTGCGACGATACAAGCCGTTATTAGAAAAGGCGCGCGTGCATGTATGATCGCGTATGTATACGCTTGATGAGTAATCGTGTCTATAATTATGCAACTGAGAGTTGCATCTCTCGTGCGTGTATAAGTACGTACATACGTAGGACGATGTCGGCGTGATAATGCAAAAGCGGTAAAAACAGTTTAAATTCCAGGCACATGTTTCGAGAAATAATTTAATTACGCGAGGCTATAACGATGGTAAAGTGACGATGATAATTTGACGTTTAATGCGCGATGGAGCGACGTATATCCTGGCCGAAGACATTTTTCTTAGGAGTGCCTATCGAAAGAGAATCTTTAAATGAGAACATGACGATGTAGCTTGTACTCATAAGGTGGGCTTTGATGTCCAACTGCGTTAATTCTGTGATAACAATCACAGAATCAGGGAGAGTCGCTTATTTATCTTGGCACATGCAGATTAATGAATCTTACTTTCTCTCTCATGATCTGTCTCTCATAATAATACTTAATAAATTTATCATATTATTATTTATCATTTCGACAACTGGGATTACAGTGAAAGTCTAATTAATATTATTAGGAAATACAATAGCATTTATTACATGCCCATATATTTTAAAAAAAATCAGAAAGAAATATTGTATATTTTGCATTTATAAAACGAGAGAATAATTTTACATTATCTTTAAGAAATTGCAATCTATGTATAATTACATTGTACTTGAATAAGATATAATTAGATACAAATTATATAAAATAAAATTTTACAGCAGTTTTAAAATGTTAATGTATGAAATGTATAAAATAATTTATATGTACAAGTAATATATAAAATAATTACATTACGTTAGAGCAATTAAGGATTAATCAATATGTACACGGAGAGAATTTTGTTTTAGAATTTACCCTGAAAATCATGGTCATCGTTGAACAATACGATATTGGAAGAATTTCATATAAGAATTTCTCTGATTATAAATATTTATCATAATAAAAAATATTAATATGTACATAATAAAATTAATCGAACATATTTTATATATTATTGTGAATATCAATATTCTTTATTGCGATAAATTTTAATCAAAGAAACTCTGATAAAATCCTTCTAATATACTATATTGTCCCATCATTATCATGATTTTCAGGGTAAATACTAATGTAAGAGAAAATTCTTTCTGCGCTATTTAGATTTTATTTGTTATCACAGTCAAACTCACGCGCAGCTTATCAGCAATAATATCTGCACCGAACAAATCGTTGCTTTGTGTTTTCGATTATAATTTTTTATTGCACAATGCACCTACTCGAAATATGTGTGCGATTTGCGATTTATATATCTATAAATATTGAGATGAGATTCCAGTTGATTTTCAAGAATTGTACTTATTCTAAAGCTTCATCTTTTCTAATGAATCTTCTTCGAATTTTAATCAGTTATTAATATAAAATCATAGTACGCGCGCGCTATTAGAATGAAGTTGCGGAATAGCGAATAACTTTAGTCATTACCGAAACACCGCGAGCTTGCATATTTATATCATGTATGTTTTAATATAAAAAATAATAAGATTGCTCTAATATATATATGTATTTTCTCTTTGTTACAGATTCTTGAGTGTCGAACGGACGTTACTTCGCGCGATTATAGTTTTTGTATTTTTTTTTTCAGTAGCAATGTACGCGAAATACGCGTGAATCACGCATCGTGTCGGGAGTGCCGTGTAAAGTATCGCGCGTCGGGAGTGCCGTGTAAAGTGTCGGGCGATCGTAATTATTCGTGTTTTCGCGAGTGTTGTAAGTGCTACGAAGGACCAAGAGAGGAGGAAGAGGCCCAGGGAGGCATCGGGCGACAGTGAGGCAACCGTGAGGTATGTAAAATAAAAATGTTTTCTAAACTGCATTATTTAATACACACACACACGTGTATAATATATAATTTGAATATTTTGTTTTCAGATCAATGAGCTGTAGACTACAACTTCGCTACTGCACGTGTCGGTGAGTGAGAAATTGTTTATTTTATATCATTTTTATTAGCGATAATGAGGATGTATCAAGCTAATGTCTTATTTCATGGATATTTATAAATAATTAAGAGTTTTGACTTTAGCTTCAATAATTTTTGAGAGGTCTTGATAATTTAAACAAATATGTCTGGCCATTAAAGTAACTTCACGCCGCATCTCACTTTGTTTTACGACATTTTCCTTATCAGTATTAAAAAGTAATTATCAGGATTTAACAAATTTATAGGTACAGTTCTACATGAAATTCTAAAAAGAGTTCTACCTTCTAAAAGCAAAATAATATTAAGTAAAATAAAAATAACCGAATCCTATCTCTATAGATGAGATGCATTTTTCAAGTAAAATTCTTATTTAAAAATTTTTTAATTGTTTTAATCAGATCTCTCTGATAAAACAATATACATGCCCAGTACTGTCCGAGTAGACTCCAGAATAAGTAGAACTCTTATAAATTCGACTGACGTCTCATCTCGAAATACAGATATAGGTAGGGTTACCATCTCAAAAAATTGTAATGCCTGACTTCCAAGTTTAAAATGCCTGATTTCTGATGAAAACGCCTAACTTTTATTTTTGATAAAAGATCAAAATAAAAAACAGCTTTAACCTATGTAAGAAATTTGTAAAAGGATTAATTTTGTATTTGAGACATTTATTTAAGTAAATCAAAATAATTCATAGTCATCAAAATTGTTTGCTTCAAAGTCAGTTTGTCGGTCAACGCAAAATTTAAAAATGTCTGACACCGTGCAATGCCGGTCGCACCCCTGACGAAAGTGTAAAACGCCTAGCAAATCCGGCAAATGCCTGCCATATGGTAACCCTAGATATAGGTATCCGGTTATCTTTATTTTAGCTTAATTTTATTTTAAATTATTTTTTACTTTCAAAAGGTAAAACTTTTTAGAACTTATATAGAACTATTTCGAGTTTCACGAAATAAGATTTCAGCTTCACACACACACACACACACGAATTAACCTATCTGAAAGAACTTGACAAATTTACACTATTACTTGAAATCATCATATAGTTGATGAACATTTTTAATTAATTAATTTGTACATCTACGATTTTTAAATCGCGATAAACATAATTTTTCTCGACTTGCGCCATTTTCAGTTTATATTTTCTTGGCGCGTATTATCCGTCAGAATCAATTAAACGTATTCGCGCAATCATTTCGGAACGGTAAATGGGAGATGCACAAGCCTCTTTGTTTCCTTTCCCTTCGCGAGTTGCATCTCACGTCCTACGTCCGAGTCCGAGTCCGCGGCTGATTACAGGGGAAAAGGCACCGAAAAGAGATCCACGCACCGATCCCCGCTGTTTCTCTCTCGCCGTGCCGCTCGTTCTTCTTATATCCCTCGTAATAATAATTACCAAGGCGCGCGTGCACGCGACGAGGAGAGTCGCGCGGTTGTGTGCGAGAGGCGCCTAAACGACTCGGCGGCGGAGACGCATATGGAGTTCACGCGTGCGGAGTGATGTATGCCCCCGTGTGTGCGGCGGGATGCGTAAGATGGGTAGCCTATACGTCTTACATGCCCGGAGGCATCCCAAAGTCGAGTCCCTCGGCTTATGTGCCGTCGTCGCATACATGTGCACGCGAGCGTGTGAGCGCGTGTATATGTACGACGACACGAATGTATTACGCGGCTGTGTCCAAAGTCGGACACGCTCTCTATGTTCCTTTGACTTTGTATTACATGCCTCCCCGCTACGAATCGAATCTCTCGCTCTCTTGGAGAACGCGCGTTAATTACGCCGCGGGATGCGCGATCGTGTAAAGTCACGAGGGACGTTAACGAGTCCGCCACACGTAGTTAAATCGGACCGCTTGTTCGCGCGATGGGACACATAAGCCGCGATGTATTTACGAGTAATGTTGTAACTCGTATGTGGATTTCTTCATGTTAATGTATCGCTCGTTTTGTTGCATCAACCATTATTATTAATATCTAGTGATCAAACTTACGTTTATCAGTTCTGAAAAATAAGGAAAATATGACATGTACTTTTTTCTGTTCTGTTATATCATTATAGTTATAATAATTAAGATTTGCTTATTGCAATATATTTCATATGTATGGAATCATCAATGGCTTTGAAAGTCGACAGATTTTCGTCACCAGAATACTAGACGAATGAATGTCGAAGTTAGAGGTGTGAAAGGGCGGTATACGTTTAAATGAATATTCCGTTTATCCTCTTCCCGCGAACACATTCCACGTGTGCATAAAAACTTGAATATGTGGTGAATAAATTACCATAATAACTGGCCATACAGAGTTAAGGCTAGTCATTGAACGGCGCCATGGCGCATTAAACTTATACAGTCATTAACGTCGTGTCGTTACTTGGAGGGAATTAAATCAACGATAGAGCTTCCGCATACCGTATTCGATAAATTAAAAAGAAACTATCCATAATTTTTGTTCCTTCGCATAATTAATACATTAAACATAATAATAAAGCGCGCGGAAATGCGTTACGTACGCGTGCCGCCTTACGTCAAGTTAATACGAGTCTAGAGGAGTCTAGTCAGGGGCATAAAACGCGACGGGCAAGAAGAATAAATAAGCAGCCGGGTGCTCTTTGCTTCCAGCGGCCGACCGCGAGATGATCCCGCGAGGTCTCTACGACAATCTCAATACTCATTACGAATTTTCCGAGTACGTACGTACATATATTTGTACGGCGCGTACGGCAGTAGCGGAAAAGAATCGGCGACGCGCGCATAAGGCGATGGCGCAAGAACTCGTACGTCTTCGGCGAAGCGCAGAAATCAGGGTCGTTAACACCGGACCGCGCCGCGCCGACGCGGATCGGCCGGGGTCGGTACCTTCCTTTTTGGATTATATATACATATACATATGTACGCGCACAGGGCGCGCATGTACATATATATCCCTTTCGTGTACATATACGCGCGAATGGACGGACGGATATACACATTGATTGCATTTTTGCGTCCGCTCACGCGCGCGCTGGTAATAATGCTAATTTGGTAAGTAGAAATGGGCATCAGCGGGCGGTCGGGCGGACTGTGGAACATACGGTAGCACGGGTAGCGCTAATGCCTCGTTTTTGTCCTCCTCCTTCCTCGCTTTTGCCCTTCTCTCTGCCTCCTTCTCCTTCCTCACCTTCTTCATCTGTTTCCCCCTTGGTCCACCAGCACTGCCACCATCACCACCACCGCCTCTTCCTCGTCCTGGAGAGACTTCTCTCTTTCCACCACCACCACCACCGTTCTACTACCACCTTTTCCTCCTTCTGCTGCTGCGCTGCTACTGCACCACCGTCTCTCTCTCGTCTCTTCTCTTCGTCGAATACGAGGCTACGGCGGCAGGCGACATAATGACGGCCAGACCTCAAACCTCAAACTCCTAACTGAATCATGAGTCCTCTTCGCTCGTCCGCGTCCGGGACTAACTTCCACAGGCGCGGCTTCTCGATTTACCGCGTTGCGGCTCCCTCCTGGGTAAGAGAGGAGAGCCGCGCTCTACGTGCCGAGGTCGTTTTGTCCTTTTCGTTTCGGCGACTCTCTCTCAGGGCCGACTTTTGTGTCGTATTGAATCGCAAACGACCGGACGGAACGGGGGGTGCTGCCGCGAGCAGAACAAGGACGTGTGCGGATTGCATTTTTTTACAACTCACGCGTCGTGATTGCGAAACAGTCGTACTCAAGCTTTTAGCTCCTGCAAATTGCCACTCGAGATGTTAGGTGCAATCGTGCTATACGGCGTGTTGAAAAAATGAGAGCGTGTTAATGTCAAATTATATTATTTAATTTTACATTTTATAGTGTATTTCCCTGTATAAGGAGACAGAAAATTGTTTAGGTTTGTGTTAGTCTCAGAAAGCAAACACTGAAATGTGAAAATATTAATCTTGTATTTTTCGTTTAATTGAAACTTTCGTATAATATATATCGCATTATTAATATTGAATTTTCGATTTAATCTGTATACATTGTATTATATGTGTATAATGTTAACTTTGAGCCCCTTATTATTGCGGCTACATATCGGAATAGCTCGACATATAACGTACCTTTGGTCGAGACGTAGCACTGAAAACTTTTTGGAAACCTTTATAATGGGTTCAATAAAAAGCACCCCTGTGAGACGCATGTGCCACAATGATCTTTCTTTCAAACCGCAAGTCCGGTCGATCCCTCGTTTGATTCCTGCGACAGGTAATCAATAACCAAGCGAATGGCGTGCAAGAAATTCTCGATTTGATTGGAGGCGTCTGATACAACGTCAAATTGACATGGAATCTAATTTGTTTATCATTTTAGTGTGATTCGTATAGATATTGTTATCTACTAACAATACGTTATTAGTCCAGTCTTCCTTTACCATTCACACACATTAAATCCGTTAAATTGTTAGTAATATCAGATTAATCAATCTTCGTTGGTGCATTCAAAATTATAAATAAAACTAATATATATTGAGACGTAACGAACGCATAAGATTGAATATATGTATTTAATTAAAATTTTTTTATTGTCGATCAGAATTAAAGAAATGAATTAAAATTTCTGCCTTGTTTGCGATAAAATAATATTTTTTAACTAGATATAGTCGTGATTGTCATAGACACATATATTCTATGAACGTCCCACGTTCGATTAATGGTAAAAGATAAAATACGCCTCAAAACGAAGAGTTTTTTTTTCGCATGCTTGTCACGTACGGCCCCCTTTCTCACGAAAGTATTGAGGCCGATGAGGCCACAGAAGAAAGCCGCCTCTTACTCAGTAACTGTTACTTCTTAGGGGTTTTAAAAGGGGTTGAAAGGGCATTATACCAACGAACGGGGGGAAGATCGAGGTTGACATTTTACCGAAGTCACTAGCACGAAGTCGTTGTTGCTGCGACGAAGAGGTTTTACGCTTTTAATGTTTCAGAGCATGCTACGAGTATGCCATTAGGCATCCTGTAAAATGAAAGAAAATTG